TTGCAGAAAAGGACCTAGGAGTCAGGCAGAGATTGTAACAGCTGAATATGTGTGAATCATTTATGTTACAGTACACAGAGTCAATGGTATAAAGGAACAGGATTGTAGTTCCTGCTAACTGAAGCACAAAGCAGATTTTTATTTAGGCTACAGGGTTACTGGTGACTTCAACCAGCAGCGGTTTGTGATGGTCTGGGTCAGCGATCTCCTGAAAAGAGAAAAATAATATAAATAAAGCTGATAAACACACAGAGTAGCACATATTCACAGTTACAGTCACCTGTACGGGTGCACGTAGAGCTGAGAGTTACGTACACAGCTCAGATTTTACATGCAGTACCGCGCATATGCTCATGGTATGTCCAACCCTGAGAATATTTGTGCTCAGTCAACCTCTCCTGGACAAACAAAAGGTTAACACTGCATTGTATAAAATTCTACCTTGTCTTCTTCCGTCTCGCTGCTCCTCAGAGCCTTGATGCCCATGACGGCAGAGCTGATGACGAGGCAGAGCTCCAGGGCTGACAGGACGATCAGCACCGCATTGATGCTTGTCAGGAGCATCTAGTGGGACACAAAGGACGGTTGAACTTTAACATTTTTTTTTAGAGCTGAATGATTGATCAAATTCAGCTTAGTATTGCAGTGTAATAGAACGCATTTTTTAAATTGCAAAAGCGCTGATTTTTTTTTTAAATGCTACACAATCTGATCAACTAGTGGATCAGAAACACCTGGACGTGTGGGATTCACATGTGCGCACACCACCCTACCAGGGGCGATTGCTCTGAGACAACAAGGGAGGCTGAACTTCCCCTAAAATTTCATAGAAGAAATGGTCAAATATGCACTACTGAATTTACATTAAAATAAGAATTTACATTGCATTAAATGTGCGCAAGGATGCATTTAACATCATGACTATGTTGTTCAAACATCAGCTGTTTATCACCAGTTTTCAAACACGACCTCCCTGTCATACATTCTTGTTTCAGCACGGTGGACGCGGAGCCTCCAAGCATCCTTATGAGACAGTGCTGAGCAGGTTTGTTTCATGCAGCAAAGCGAGACGGTCATTGGATAAATGCGACAAAATCGTCACTTCCAGGGAGGCTCAGCTTCCCAGGGACCTAATGGAGCAGTAGGCGGGAGAGGATGCTCGGTGTGTGCATGATGATTGGAGGAATTGTCTAAAAGGCTGAACCCCTTTGTGATTGACAGCGCTTCGCATTTCGAGCTCAGTCCCATGCAGATATTTGCGAGTGGTGTCTTCTGACAGACTGCTGTCCGGAGTTCCTTACTTCCATAAGCCATATAGCTCATTTTCACCGTTTGTAAAGTACAGTTCAGGTGTTTAAAGCCATCTGTGAGGTGTGTTTTGCTGTGGTTCTGTGGCATGAGTGTTGTTTAAAAAATGGCTTCAATTAAATGTTCCTTTTATAAATTACTGCCTCGCTACAATACAAACAAGACAAATTTTATGATGTAAACTTAAAGTGAGCTTCCCCTGTTTGAAAGACCAGCAGCCACCACTGCACCCTACACTCCACATGACAGATGAGAATAAGTGTAGATTAAAAAAACTTGTAAAATGCTACAAGCAAGCTTTGATGCACGCAGTACTTTGTGTGAAAATTACCATCATCAGTTATACAACTTGTATTTTGACTGCTGAGATCACATTTTCCACACCTACCAGAACCATTTCTTTGCCCTCCAAGCATTTCTGCTTCAGGAACTCCTCCCCAGGAGATGGAGTTGCAGTGGGTCGGTGGCGTGGATAGTAGTCATAATTATAATCGTTGTCACACTGCAACCACACCCATACGACTGCTGTATTGATGCTGTAGAGTATGATGGATGCAATGGCAAAACCAACTCCTGCTAGATTCAGGATCACATTGATGATGACCTGAAACACAAGACACAAAAACACACCATGTATAAATACTCGTGGAATGTGACACAATTTGGGTGTGCATATTCTTTAGGAATACACACACCCAATATAAAATTATCCTCCATTTTATGTGTCTTGAAGAATAAGATGACAACAAAATAAAGCTGAACTACTCACCAGACATGGACTGGGGTACTTCTCAGACACAATGCCAATGATGCCAAACAACACAAACTAGAGAAAAGACAAAAAACAGAATCTTAAACTTCCATTCCTCCACACAAACACTGAAATTCATGTCATTTCTGGCATCATTGCTTGAGTGAACAGAATTTATATAAGCAACCAGTACTGATCAATGTGATCTGAGAACTAAGAGATTATCAAATACGCAGCCTCAAGTTGTAAAGTTGTGTTTCCCTTCACGTTAACTTTGGGAGTACACACATGTAAATTTTTTACTGAAAATCCTGTTGGATTTTGGTTATGACATAAAAGACCAAACACAGCATCAGCTTGCTTACCAGCGCTCCGAGCCAGAAAGGAAATGCTTCGTCACCCATTGACCACCAAGAGCCAGCGTGATTGCTCAAGAGGATCACTCCGAAGCCGATGTTGAGCAACCCAACCATGATGTGCAGAGCCTGTGGAGGAGGAAACACAGAATGAACAACAAACACCTGTACAGTCGACCTGAAGTCACCACATGACACTGTTAGAGTTAGCTGGGCAGCAGAGCATACTGGTACATCGGACACTTTCTCTCACAGTTTCATGGTGTTTTCTAAATGAAATTTTCTATATGAACAGAAGAGTACCTGAAGCTTCGAGGCAGGTACAGAGCGGTGACAGGTTCATGAAAAAACTGACTAATGCGATTCAAATTACACCAAAACAACTTATTTACTCAAAGTTGAAATCAGAATTGAGCAGGGGAAAGTTCATAGAGCAGCTTAAAACACATAAAGGTTGTAACTCACCCCCAGTATTGACTGAGAAGATCCCTGGACCTTCCTCAGGCGCTGAGACACAGAGCAGCACACGGGGTTGTAACAGAGGCCTTTGACGATTTGGCACAGTGGAGGACAAACACTTTGGGGGTCAGAGGTCACAGTGAACACAGAGACCCCATCAGCCTTCATCACGGTCACAGACATCCTGCCTGCTCCTGTGGAATGAAAGCGTAAAGAGAGTACAGGAAACTTTAAATCTCCGTGATCAGGTTAAGGTTGCTGTTGCTGATTCTTAACAATCTCTGATGATAAGTAAATGTAATTATCTGCAATGGAAACTCATTCAGCGAATAAACGATGACCTCCTGTCTTGACGTATCCTCATCGAGTGAGTCCTAAAATATGTTTAATTATTCACAAAATTAGTTAACGAGCTCACAGCCACGTTGCTCTACATAAAGATCAGTTTAGTCAGCAGGAGGAGTACTGTGTATCCAGCAGGAACAGCTGTATGTTTAGTGAATCTGGAGGAAGCTTTCTGAGGTCTGAAAAACATGGCCCATCAATGTTATCTCAAATTAGACAAAAGATTTCAAGTTTCTGACTGGAATTTTTCATTACAAACTGAGGTTGTGGCATTGGAGAGACACTGGTAGTAGTGACTTATAAGACTCCAAAACTGAGCTCTGCTGCTGTGATTTTCACTACTCTTTTTTAAATACTGTCTCTTGCGAGTCCCCAAACTTTGTGGACGCACAGTACTACATCACAAGAGTATCTATGTGCAGCAGACACGGGCAGGAACTGAGGGGTTATTTGTTAAGTACGGATTTTGTCTGATATTTTGTCCATCACATTAATAGCAATGAGGGGACCTAAATAACAGCAACACCTCTCTGTGCCATGCAATACAGTTCAACTACATAAAGTTAATTCAACACCTGTCTGACACATTAACACATGAGCTGACCATTATAACCTCCATGAAGGAGGGGATTTATTGCATGGATGTTTGTTTTAGCTTGGTGTGGCCTATTTAATAAACTGAGTGTGCATACAAAGTGCAGGTTGTTAATCATGAAGACAATATGTCAAGTCTTGCCTTCTGTAAGTGTGACTGGTTTCACTAAGAACAGGTCAGTAAGCATCTTAAATAAAATCATACTTTACATTTATCTTTCAGTCACAACAGTTTTGTAAACAAGATATCAACAAATACTGAGGAGAAAGCAACTCTTTAAAGCTCATACCGAAGAATAATGAAGGTAGATTTCTCCGCGACAAACCAGGCGGAATACAGCCGATGTCAGGCGGTGTATGAAGTAACAGACACACGAGTTATGTCAACAAACTGTCGCACATTTTACAGTAAATAAAACATAACGCCGTCGTCTTCCTCCCTCATTGACTGCAGTGCTCGCTCGGCAGCATTCTGCTCAGTGCTGCCACCAGTGGTCGGAGGCTATATTGCATTAGCTGAGCGTCGACGTTCATTTTTTTAATCTTTTAAACACTTTGACAGAAACAAAATATTAAAACCGAGGATAGCTAGTATTCTCTCATCAAACATTACATTTTTATTGGCAGTAATGTAGTTCTTAGTCGCCATTGGCAGCACAGAGGAGCCCTGCTGTTTATGAGCGCAGACGTTGGGCGCCATCTTGGATTTTGTGTCGGTTGTGTTGATCTTAATACAAATTTCCTGCACTTCACCCGATTAAGTCGGATTTTATTGTTAAATACCCGCCTGACAAACAGGTTTTATCTCCTGATAAGTTCCCAAGACTTTCACCTATGCTGCCATAAGTTTGAACTTGAAATATTCACCCATTAACACACTTTATGGGCACTGTATGTCTTAAATTGTTGTGTTAAGTTAAAAAGTAGTACAGCACCGCAGACATAATAAGGACCGGCTATAATTGAGGTCCCTTTACAACATGCGTCACACATAAGAAAATGACTTACCTGTTTGTGTCTGTTGGAGTGCAAAAGAAAACCTAAACGCCTGTACTCCACCAAACCAACCAGCTGTTGTGCAGTTATTGTTTTTCAGAAGGGAAAGGAGATGGATCAGTGCCATAAAGTACCTCCCTTCATCTGGGATCTATAAAGAAACTTAACCCTTTCAGCTAAACACAAAGGAACACTTTCATACTTTTTATTTAGATATACCTTAATGCTATTTTTACAGCATAAAACAAAGGAGTCAGTGACATGCAGGGCCGGAGCAAAAAGTTTAGACGTCATAGTGCAAGTACTGTACTAAAAAACAATACGCACCAATTGTTTTATTGAACTCACTCAATTTCACACTTACACTTTGAGGTCAAATATAAACTACAGAGCAGAAATACAAACACCAAAACACATTTAACATGGCTTAATGTTGTAAAATAACAAACACACATCAGTCCATCAGTGTGTGTCCATCACACACATATATGCACAAACCTCACTTTTACCTACATACATACTAACCATAAGGCACAAGATTTAATAGAAAATCATAATCAATGGAAACAGTTTAAAAAAAACATCAACAGAGTGAAACTGACAGCAGCATATGCAGTTATGTGCAGATTATTATCAAAGATTCACTAAAATATAAGTGCAAATATCTTTAAGCAATCCTTGCAAAAAAGGACCCAGGAGCCAGGCAGAGATTGTACCAGCTGAATATGCATGAATCATTCATGTTACAGTACACAGACTCTATGGTATAAATGCACAGGATTATAGTTCCTGCTAACTCATAGCACAAAGCAGAGATTTTTATTTAGGCTATAGGGTTACTGGTGACTTCCTCCAGCAGTGGTTTGTAGCTTTCCGGGTCACCGATCTTCTGAAAAGAGAAAAATAATATCAGTAGAGCCGATAAAAAGATGCGGACATACTCAAATCTTTGGCACATATTCACACATTATATTACACTCAACAACTGTGTTGCTGTTCTGTTTCCTGCAGGGATACACGGGCGAATAATTACATTAATGTACATTTTTTAGCCACTTTTCTTAATATTGTGAAATTTAGGATGTGCTAAAGAAAACAGAACTTGGCAGCAAACTACATAAAAAATATATTTTGTAAAAATGACTTACTGATATGTTAGAGTTGAAGATTATTTTCCCGACCCACAAACTCTTACTCTCATGTCTGCATGCTCAATATGAAGCTACAGGCAGTGGGTGATTAGCTTAGCATAAAGACTAGACATAGGGGGAAACAGCGAGCATGGCGAGGAAACAAAGAAACAAAATTCACCAACCAGCGATTCTTTATCATAATGTCAAAGTGTTATTAACTGATATACACTAAAGCCCCGTTTTTCACAGATCCGTACGCTTTTCTTCTGTTTCCACTGTGAGAAGTTGTGGATGGTACCAATGAAACCGTTCTGTACCGTCCCCATTTTTGGTCCCCCCTCTGTTGGGGTACCTAGCACACAGATCTGGTACTAAAAGGTGGAGCTGTGAATTCAGAACAGGCTGAGATGTGATTGTAGAAAACTCTACCTTGTCTTCTTCCTTCTCGCTGCTCCTCAGAGCCTTGATGCCCATGACGGCAGAGCTGATGACGAGGCAGAGCTCCAGGGCTGACAGGACGATCAGCACAGCGTTGATGCTTCTCAGGAGCATCTGGTGGGACACAAAGGACAGTGTGAACTTTAACATTTCGAAACACAACTGTTTTGAGAGCTGAACTATTAATTTACTTCAAATTGTTACCACAATGTAATAGAACACAACATTTAAAGTGCAAAAGTGCCGATTTCTTAATGCTACACAATCTGATCACTCCATTGTGACAGATGAGAATAAGTGTAGATTTAAAAAAAAACTTGTAAAATGCTACGAGCAAGCTTTGATGCTCGCAGTGTGTCAAAATGACCATCATCAGTTATACAACTTGTATTCTGACTGCTGAGATCACATTTTCCACACCTACCAGAACCATTTCTTTGCCCTCCAAGCATTTCTCCTTCATGATCTCCTCCCCGGGAGATGGAGCTGAAGTGGGTCGGTGGCGTGAATAGTAGTCATAATTATAATTGTTGTCACACATAGACCACAGCCATATGTTTGTCATATTGATGCTGTAGAGTACGATGGATGCAATGGCAAAACCAACTCCTGCTAGATTCAGGATCACATTGATGATGACCTTAAACACAAGACACAAAAACACACCATGTATTAGATATTCGTGGAATTTAAAAAGCCACCGACTGTCCTACCTCTCTACAGCTGAGTGTCTCGTACGCTTTTTAAGAACTCCTTGCAAATCTCAAATATTAACCTTTGATAGAACATCTTAAAGACAATATGATGAGATGGAGGAATTTTCCTAATTCAATTGGAGACTTTTAAACTCATAAAACAACAAAGTGGGGGGTGGACGTTACGGTTAGGCCCCCAACGAAAAGGGCCAAAATAGTTATAGATCTGCTATGATGGTTCAATATGGAAAATAACTTGCAAAAGGCCCCTAAAGCACTTCCTTAAAAAAAGCAACTAATACTACAATTAAAGGGACGGGCCAGGCTCGGACAGAACATGCACGGGCTCAGGTGGGGTCGAGCTGGATTTTTTGGGCCTGATCTAAGCTCTACTCTGGAGACAAATCCTGCAAATTACTCTGCGTATGGTACTGGAGCTGTTGTTTTTGTTTTTTCTTAGAATTAACTTTAAAAGAAGAAGAAGAAGATGACAATAAAAGATAACATGAGGATGTTATCAAGCTGAACTACTCACCAGACATGGACTGGGGCACTTCTCAGACACAATGCCGATGATGCCAAACAACATGAACTAGAGAAAAGACAAACAACAGAATCTTTAAACTTCCATTTCTCCACGCAAACACTGAAATTCATTTGTGTAATTGCCATCTTTAACTGGATGAACAGCATTTTGAGCACCAAGGGAAACTAGGCAACGCTCATAATGCGCTCATACTGGCAGACAAGAGACAAGTGACCAGTACTGATCAATGTGATCTGAGAAGGAAGCAATTAAGACATCCAATAACAAAACACACACAGGTTTTTATTGATTTCACGTCATTTGACATTTAAAAGTGAGCTTGGTGTGTGTATCCAGACTGTTAGGTGGATCTCCTTAGAATCAAATATGCAACTCTGACATAAAAAGTTGGATTTCCCTTTACTGTAACTTCAAGAGTGCACAGATGTAAATTATGAAAGAAAAATTGTGTTGGACTTAAGACATAAAGGGACAAACACAGCATCAGCTTGCTTACCACTCCTCCGAGCCAAAAAGGAAACCCAGTTTCATCCATTTGCCACCAAGAGCCACCACGACTGCACATGAGGATCACTCCGAGGCCGATGTTGAGCAACCCAACCATGATGTGCAGAGCCTGTGGAGGAGGAAACACAGCATGAACAACAAACACCTGTACAGTCGACCTGAAGTCACCACATGACACTGTTAGAGTTAGTTGGGGAGCAGAGCATACTGTTACATTGGACCACTTTCTCTCACAGTTTCATGGTGTTTTCTAAATGAAATTTTCTATATAAACAGAAGAGTACCTGAAGCTTTAAGTTAGGTACAGAGTGGTGAGAGTATAATGGAAAAACCCTGACTGCAATGTGATTACAACAATAACATGTAGCTTCTGGAATCAAGAATTTGTATTTCATTAAATTACACCAAAACAACTCACAGTTAAAATCAGAATTGAGCAGGAAAAGAAAACATACTGCAGTGTAGTATAAAAAAACTTTAAAGCTGAAGTTCATAAGACAACTTAAAACCAAGGTCGTTACTCACCCCGAGTATTGACTGGGAGGATCTCTGAAACGTCCTCAGGCGCTGAGACACAGAGCAGCACACGGGGCTGTAGCAAAGGCCTTTGATGATTTGGCACAGCGGAGGACAAACACTTTGGGTGTCAGAGGTCACAGTGAACACAGTGACCCCATCAGCCTTCGCCATGGTTATAGACATCCTGCCTGCTCCTGTGGACTGAAGGAGACGAGAGAGTACAGGAAACTTAAAATCTCCTCAATCAGGTTAAGGTTGCTGTTGCTGAGTCTTAAACCTTAAAGACTCTTCAACCCTACTGGCTCTGGAGGAATCTCAGAGTTACCCTAGATCGGGCTAAACATTTCAAGTTTCATGGCCGTATATGTGTTATTTGCCTTTCAGGAATTGTACGAGTCAGCATTTTTAGAACTTGACCCAAACTAGGAACTAAAAATCAGGATATCACTGAGCTCTGCTGCTGTGATTCTCACTACTCTTTTTAAAATATGTCTGTTGAGTGTCCCCCAACTTCATGAAACACAGTCCTAAATGATCATACAGCAGACAGTGGCAGGCTAGGTGGTGTTTTTTTCTCCATTTGTTTGGTAAATACAGGTTTTCCTATTAAGCTAAGTAAAAAATTAATAGCAGAAACACCTGTCTAAAACACTGATACATTAAAGTTACTTATTGTTTGGTTGAGACGTTTTTAAACTGTGAAAATATGGTTCACGCCACTTTTTGGTTAAACAAGACCGCTCTCGTGGAATTAACTTAGCTAACCACAGAGTAGCACGACCTTAAATGAACTGTCGTTACAACGTTCGTGAAGTTAACGTTAGCCGTGGTTTGGTTTATTACGGTCACGTAAAACGAGAAACAGCAACTGTTTGAGACTCATAGCGAAGAGTGAATTTCTCACTAACTTACCAGGCGCAAAACAGTCGATGTCAGGCGGTGTGCGACGCAGCAGAAAACGATTCATTCCGACAGACTGAAGCACATTTTTACAGTAAATACAACATGACGCCACCGTCTTCCTCCGTCACTGACTGCAGTGCTCGTTCAGCAGCATTGTGCTCAGTGCTGCCACCAGTGGTCGGAGGCTATATTGCATTAGCTGAGCGTCGACGTTCATTTTTACCTTTTAAAACGTTTGACAGAAACAAAATATTAAACCCGAAAATAGCTAGTATGTTTTTGTCAAACATTATAAGTTTATTACATCGTGTCCAGTCACCATTGGCGGCAGAGGAGCCCTGCCGTTGGAGCAAAGAATACGTTGGGCGCCATCTTGGATTTTACGTGGGTTGTGTTGGTCTTATTGCAAATCTTCCGCACTCCATCCGATTAAGTCGGGTTTATATTATTTAATACGCGCCTGACATACACGTTTTCTCTCCTGATAGCTTCCCAAGACGTTCACCTATTCCACAGTGAGATTTAACTCGAAACATTCACCCATTAACACACTTGATTACCAGTTATTATCTTGAAAGGATGTGTTTACTTCAACAGCAGTACAGGACCATACAACTACATGATAAGGATAGGCTAAAATTGAGTTAGTCCTTTATAGTCTGGCTCAAACATAACAAATTGACTTACCTGAATGTATCTATGAGAGTAGAGGAAAAACTCTGGTTTGTAGCCTACAGCTGTGCTGCGCAGTTATTGTTTGGATAAGGAGGGACAGAGATGGACCAGTGCCAACAGTGTGTCACCCTGTTACCAGAAGTACCTCCCTTCATCTGGGATCAACAAAGAGACTTAACCCTTTGCTTCACAATCAGCCAAACACAAAGGAAAATGTTAATGTTGTTGTTTTTGGCCTAAATGCTATTTTTACTACATTAAAAAGAGAGAAGGAGTCAGTGACATGATGCAGGGTTGTAGCAAGAAGGTTAGAGGTCAAAAGTTAAACTTCCCCCAGCACCAGTGGTGGAAAGAAACCAAGTAGGCTACTGTGCATAAGCGCATGTGCATTTCTATTTGCCCATTAAAACCTGGGGGAAGCACAAACAATTTCTAAATATTACAAAAAAGGTTTTACGCTTGGGGGAGTTGGAAAAGTTAGTGTATCGATAACTTCATCGTCTCTGGAGGTTTTCAACACGGCAATGTTTGCACACAGAGCTGTTACCAGAAGTCTTCCAGGTGCACATAGCTGTAATATTAGTTGTACTGTCCAGTGTGCTCTCCGTTAATTCATTCAATTTTTTCCTTTGTTTGAGGTTTGACCAGTGCTCTTTTTACATCATCAACTCGTTGCGCTTTCTCTTCTGTAGAAAGCGGCTCCTGACGGGGAGAATTAGCGTGACCTTCTGCCTGCCTCGATGAATCACTTCCTGATATTCACATAACAGTAGGTTAGTGCAGTGGTTTCCAACCTTCCCCTTTTCTACCATTGAGTAAACAGACGACCCCTGACTAAATTACATATTTTATGGATATTTCCTATTATATTAAATGCATAACAATAACAGCACAGAAGAACTGATAAACTGTACAATTAACCCAACGAGTGAACACAATAACTGCAGGAAGTTTGTGTAAAGCGAGTGATATGGATGAATTTAACTGAACTTAATATGAATTAAGTGTGTGCTTTTCTATTACAGGACGAGGCTGTTAAGCCAGCACTTCAACACACCAAGCCAACGGTTGGCCATCGGTCAAAGTCGGGCCTTCGGTGAGCATCTGTCGCTCTAGTATTTGCGGTGTGTCCCGCACCATCGGCACTTCTGCGTCGGCAGCTTTTCGGCCGATTGAGCATGTTGAATCGGCGGCAGAGCTTGTCGGTGAGAGAGATCACTCTGATTGGCTGTTCAGGTTTTATTTCCTTGCCCCTGAATAACAAACCTGGGCTAGCTGTGAGGCTAGTGGAGCGTTATCTCATGCATTCCTCGGACTTAAGGTTTCCCTTTTTGCATTATTTCCTCTCATGCAGGCACAGAACATACGTGCTACCTGGCCGTTGGATGTAGTCCATGTAGTGTGTTCAAATGCTACTGACACAGGGCAACGTGAGGCGACGTGAGGCGACGTAGACAACACAACAGTTGGCTTTCGTCACCGCTAGTTCTTTGACATTGGTTTGGTGTATCAGCACCTTTAGCATGTAAGATTTTTTTTAAAGCTTATATCTTAGATAATAATATAAACAAAAAAATATTTTATTTAGTTTTCTTCACAGGGAGGAATGAAATGCTGAGATATAGGCCAACTGTGTGTTTTAAAAAAGTCTTCTTACATCCCTCAAAATCAAGAAGGCCTCACAACTCCCTGTAAAGCTTTGGTGACCCCATGTTGGGAACCTGTGGATTAGTGGATGTTTTTCCTGCATGCCTCCACAGAAAACAGCAAACATCTTGTTTTCTGATATGACTGTTGTTTCATCAAATTTGCACAGGAGGCAGATCTTGGTGTAGAGTTGACTGAGGACGTGCAGAATGAGGGGATGAAGGGGATCCATCTAAGCTCAACTAATGCTAGACTGCAGTTTATTCAGTTCAAGGTTGTCTAGAATTATGACAATCTTTTAAAGATACATCAGCGACACTAGTTTTTGTATATTAAATAACATGCACATTTTTCTAAGTTTGTTTTTCAAAGACTGTGATCATGATAAGCACTTACAGCAGTTTACAGTGACAACACTACAGCTTGTGGATACGAGTACCTCTTGAGGGCAGCATCATGACAAACAAAATATGTCTCAATGACTAAAGAAGCCCCAACACAAACTTTTATATCTTGTTTATTAGACTTTTACAGGACTTCAGCTCATGATAGTGGTGAGTAGAGTACTGCTGTTAAGCTGTGATAGTGGTGACCTCCTTCAGCAGGGGAAATTTGTGGAGATTTGGGTCATCAGTGCTCTGAAAAGAGAAACACACAAACAGTCATGCACAATAAAGCCTTCACAAAAATGTGTACACTCAGGTTTCATGGGAAGAGTGCTTCAAGGCAAAGGTGCGGCTGTTCATATTTGGGAAACGTTCCATCACACAAAGAAAACAGGATTATCCCACATTGTTAATATGTGTAAAATATAACTTGTGTAATAATAAACATATTATTTGTCAAATATGTTAAACAATCACAAATCTCAATCGCTGCACATATGTTAGTTTTGTCATTCTGCAATAGTTTACACAAAATATCAGGAAAAACTGGCCCTCCAGTGTAACTCAACACAAAAGCCCTAAAATAAATGTTGCTGCTGTGAGGCTGGTAAATGGATGTTTAGTTTGAGACTGCGTTGGACAGGAGTTAATTGAAATCCACGATTATGTTTAATTCAGTAGTTTATGGTGCTGTTGTACTTTTGTCCACACATCTGTGTCGTCTGTGACATGCTCTCCAAAGAAGCACAGGGGCATCGTAATGGGGGGAAATGTGGGGCTGATTACCCAGGGCCCCAGTAGGAGGGAGGCCTCAAAAAGCTTGTGATGGAAAGTTTGGTTTCATTTGCAGTTTTTTATGTCTAAGTAATTACTGCCATAACTGAAATAAAATTGGCTGACTAAATTCATATAAAGACTGAGCTTTTGATTTAAAAAAATAAAATAAAATAATGGTGGCTCTCTGTCGCCCCTTCACAGTGGGGTACATCATGTGACGTGCGTCAAATTCCATCCCTAGCACACACCGGGCGTGTCGTACTGCAGCTCATTAACAGACGACCACACAAAGTTACTACTTTTACTGAAAGATCTGCACCTCTCTCACCTCTGCGTTAGCTTAAAATCATGTGTGGATGGCCCCTATTAAAACTTAGTTTCACACCTGAGGAGCCGACCTCCAGAGCTATGACTCGCTAGGTAATATCTTTTTTGTCATTGTCTTTATAACGACAGGATTGTGGGTTATTTAGCGTGTGATATTTCTTGACCTCAACACAGAGTCTCTTTTTGCATCCGTGGTGAGGAGAGGAGTCAAGCTGCCACAGGAGCAGAGAAGAAGAGCTGCTACGGGAGCTGTTATGTACAAGCAGAGAGTGAGAGGGGGGGAAAATGCATTTAATTTCAGGGGTGACGAGGCTGGAAATAGGACAGTGACGTCATGCGTCTAGCCACCGCCAGTGTGGGGTTGTACAGTGAAAATAATAGGGCCATATTTTTTGACGCGCAGGGTTTGCTGTCGGTGTGATTTGGCCTTAAAAGGCGCAAAATGGTTTAATAGGATTCGTCTCTAAATGCAGCTGGAGCCAGGTGAGTGACTACTTATACTGCTGGAGCACCAACTGTCAAGGAAAGAGACCAAGCAGCTGACTGTATGGAGTTAAACAACTGAAGCAGCATGTTGTGTCCACTCTGTCAGCCCTCCTGGATAAATAAAGTTTAAACAGCTAAAAAACATACATCGTGTACCTTGTTTGCTTCCTTCTGACCCCTCACCAGAGCCTTGATGCCCAAAACAGCAGAGCTGGTGACGAGGCAAAGCTCGAGGATCGACATGATGACCAGCACAGTACTGATGCTCTGCACAAGGACCTGATGGGACACAAGAAGAGCCAGTGACAACTTTAAAATCTCTACCAGTCAGGTACACAGTTTGCGCCTGTAAAAAGAATCAGCATCCTGTTAGATGTTTGCATGCTTTATTTATTTATTAGCTTAGTCGTAAAAACATTTACAGTGAGTAACATGCTGAGACTATTTGTTGTAAGTCCAGCAAATAACATCCCTTTAGACCTTATGTTTATTCGTCAAATTTAGAGGTGCTGGTAACAGAATTTTTTAATTGAAGAAAAATCCAGGCTAGCTGTTTCCTCCTGTTTACAGTCTTTATGCTAAGCTACTCGTCTGCTGGCTTTAGCTTCATATTTAAGTCACGTTTTTGATCTCTGGTAACACTATGGGGCTGTTTTTCTATAAGTGGCTCCCAGTTTGTTTGTGTAGTGCACATGTAGGTGACTGTAGCCCAAGAGGTAGAACAGGTCGTCCACTAATCAGAAGATCAGTGGTTCAGTCGCCAGCTCTTCCAGTCCACATGTTGAAGTATCCTTGTGCAAGATACTGAACTCCAAAGCTC